GCCTTTTTACCTGCTTCACTTGCCCTGTGCCTAGGAAGTGAGTTTATTTACTCACTTGGTGGCATCTCAGTCTAAGGAGCCACTCAGCAGGGTTCACAGAAGGCAGTGAAGCAGATGTGGAGCCCTGGTGGTCATTAAGGGCGCACACCTGGAGGTGACAGGCAGCTCCTTTAGGAGCCGTTATCTGATTATTGGCTTCCTTATTCAGGTCACAACATGTCTGCTCCTCCCAGGACCCCCATCCCCCGCCTACCTGAGCTGTCTATTCCGACCATATCAGTATTACCAAACTCCCATGCCCAGGTCAGATTCTAGCAAAGAAGTGCAACGAAGTCCAGCATTTGGTGGCATGTTAGGGACAAACTCAAACACCTTAATACTCTATGTACTGTAGTGCACCTCTGCTCTGGGGTCCACATCCCTGCACTTAATTCAGTTCTTGGCCCTAGAGGGATTTGGGTAAGTGATTTCTCGTTCCAGTTTCTTTGCTCAGATTGGGGAGCCGGCCATCATTGGGAAGATGGCCTTTGGAGGTCCTTAGGGAGATGGTACCCAGCCTGTATGCCTTTGCCCTCCAGCCTGAAGTGATTGTGTAGACTGATTCTGCCACGTAGCTGTTGAGGCACTGTTGGGGTAAGAAGAGGCTGGGGGGCGGGTATGGTGCACTCCCAGTCAGGCTTGGTTCTTCCCAGGGCCTTCCCAGTGCCACAGAGATCTGTTTGAAACTGTTGGACAGGTGCTCCTCTGGTGAGACATGTCCATCTGGGCTCCTTGTGCCTCTGCAGGGGGCAGAAGTAGTTCTGGAAGCTGAAGCTGAAGAAACCGGGCAGTGGTATAGTCTTAGAACACTTGTTTAGGGACAGCGAGGGCTGGGGATGAGGTGGGATGTCGCATTACATCTTCAAGTCTTGGTGTTTATTGTCTCCCCGTCTGTCTCTTGCAGTAATATTTTGCCTTTGAGTAACTGTCCCCAGCTCCAGTGCTGCAGGCACATTGTTCCGGGGCCTCTGTGGTGCTCCTGATGCCCCTCACCCACTGTCGAAGATCCCCGGTGGGCGAGGGGGCAGCAGGGATCCTTCTCTCTCAGCTCTAATATATAAGGTAAGGAGGGCCCTGGAGTGGGGGGCTTGGGAGAGCCTTCTCGGACACTACTGAGCTCAAGGACAGTAGTCACTTTTTGGTTCTTTAGTCTTTGAGGAGCCCTGGTGGCACACTGGTTAAGTGCTCGGCTACTAACTGGAAGGTTGGCGGTTTGAACCCACCAGCAGCTTCACAGGAGAAAGACGTGGCAGTCTGCTTCCATAAGAATTTACAGCCTTGGAAACCCTATGGGAACAGTTCTACTCTGACCTATAGGGTCACTGTGAGTTGGAAGCGACTTGACAGCAATGAGTTTGGTTGGTCTTTGGATTCTTAGGCTGGGCCAGTGCGGGGATCGGGAAGGACTCTTGGACTGAGGCTGCTGTGTGACGCTGGGGAGTACTGCATGTCAGCACTATGTGAACCCCCAGCTATCATCTCAGCTCGGTGGCCAGCACTTGCCCTGGGTGGGAGTGGCATGAGAGCTTTTCTTGATGGTACTCAGTTTCCTTTGAAGTGCCAGGAACATTTTCCCCATTGTCCTCGACCCTTGGGCATTCTGATTCCTGTCCCTTACCAGCCTGCTGCCAGGGGTGAGAGGTAGTGTGTAGATGGGAGGTAAAGAGAGGGGGCCTTGCATCTCAATCATGTGTTACCTGGCACTACATGGCATGGCCCAGTAGCTTTGGAAAACCTTGGGGAACTGCTTCAACATCTTTCCTTTTTTCCCCCAAGAGTGGTCTGGGCTGGATCAGCTAGCTGTTTGCTGCCTTTTAATCTTCTGTGATTGAGGCCAAAGTTGGTTTAGCTCCTCCCTAAGACTGGGACTGAAGGGTAGGAGGGCACCTGAGCTCGTCTCTTGAGATTGTGCCCAGGTGCGATAACACAGACCCCACAGTCCACCCAAGCAGACTTGGGTTGATCCTGGCCCCCGCCAAGCCCTCACACATCCTCATTCATTTTGTTATGTTTCCTTTTCAGAGGGGGAAGGGAAGTGGCATGGTCCTATGGAAAAAGCATGGACTTTTGGAGTTAGGGAGCCCTGGACTTGAACCTCAGCTCTGCCATTTACTAGCCGTGGAGCCTTGGGTCAGTCACCTAATTGTTCTGGGCCTTAGTACCTCATATTCAAAGTGGGGATATTAATGCCTGCTTCAAGTGCTTGTCGTGATGACTGAGGTAAAACATGGAAAAGTACCTTGTACCATACTTGCAGCTAGTGGGCACCTGGTAAATATTTCCTTCCCATCACACTGGCTTTGAGTCTCAGTGCTGATGAGTGATGGCTCCATTTAGCCAGCATGTAGCTCCACATTTTCAGGATGCTTCTATCTCATGCTGCCCTGAGATTGAGTCAAGGGCACTCCCAGTACCACCTCGGGTAGGGAGCATATGATGTGGCCAGAGGCAGTAGTGACGTGGCCCTCTGCCCTAATTTCCTCCCCAGGACGAGAAGCTTACTGTGACCCAGGACCTCCCTGTGAACGATGGAAAACCTCATATCATCCACTTCCAGTATGAGGTCACTGAGGTGAAGGTCTCTTCCTGGGATGCAGTCCTGTCCAGCCAGAGCCTGTTTGTAGAAATCCCAGATGGATTATTAGCTGATGGGAGCAAAGAAGGGTAAGGAGCACGTGCTGGGAAGGGGGTCCTGTTCCAGAGAAGGGTGTGTACTTAGTGGGGATAAGAGATGAGGGGGTATCTGGGCCTTCTCCTCTAGCTCTAGGCTTCCCAAGCAGATACCATTTTGTAACAGGTTATTTTAAGCCAGTACAACAGGCCTGCTCTAGTTACAATTAAAGCAGATCATTATCACATTAACTAAATCTTTGCCAGTTAATTGCCCATGGTTCACTCTTTGCAGCAGACACTAAATCCCCCTTGATCTACCACACAGTGGTGCAGTTCAAAGGCCAGGAAGCTCAGAGATACACAGCGGGCTTTCACTGGATTGGGCCAGGCCCTCCAACCAGCCAGGCATGTGAGAACCATCCTGAGAAAGCAGTCTTCTTGAGTGGCCGCAACCTCTTTAGGAAATCCTTGTAGGCAATGTTAGGGCCCAGAGTCCATCTCAGGGGCAGGTTATCAATAGCAAACCTTGGCAGTCTCGGGGGACCCCTCAAGAGCTGGTTCTCTTTCTAGGCCCCAGACTCTTGCCTTGTGAACTGCACTTGTTTAGTTGGTGTTAATTTTAGATGAAGAACCCGTTTTCAGAAGAGCCAATTCAGTAACCTTTCTCAGGTGTTGTGGCTGAACTCAGGGCTCCCAGGGTCTTGAAGTAAGAACCTCTCCCTGGAACTTGCCTATTTATAATACTGGCTGGAAGTGTCAAAAAAAGCCTTTTTTAGGGGAGTGGGGAGGTGGGTGGGAAGGAGTCCAGGGAGGGACTGAGTTGTTTGCTTGGCTTCCTGGCAGATTGTTAGCACTACTAGAGTTTGCTGAAGAGAAGATGAAAGTGAACTCCGTCTTCATCTGCTTCCGGAAGGGCCGGGAAGACAGAGGTGAGGAGTCAAAGCAGCCTGAGACCTACTGCCCAGTGGGGGCCTAGGGAGGAGAAAAGGGGCTCCTGTGAGGTAGGGCTCTGCATTCGCCTTGCAAACCCTGGGAAGTCATGGTGGGGGTTGCCCGAAGGGTTAGAAAAGGCTTATTTATTCCATCTTTGTTTTGGGGTTTCCCTTGATGTAAGCCTACCCTTGTGCTCATCAGAATTCTTTTTACACTGTCTTCTGCAGCTCCACTCCTGAAGACCTTCAGCTTCTTGGGCTTTGAGGTTGTGCGTCCAGGCCATCCCTGTGTCCCCTCTCGGCCAGATGTGATGTTCATGGTTTACCCCCTGGACCAGAACTTGTCCGATGAGGACTAACGGTCATGGAGGAGGCTTTGCCCAGGAGCCACACGGGGGAGGAGGGGAAGGTCAGGCAGCCCTGGGACTGAGGAGGGGGCTCCTTGCCGTCTAGGAACGACGCTGAGGGGCTTAGGGTGACGGCTGCCTATTGTGTTCTTGGAGTTGACTCATTGAAATTGTTTTCCGTAAAGAACAGTATAAACATATTATTCACATGTAATCACCAATAGTAAATGAAGATGTTTATGAACTGGCATTAGAAGCTTTTTAAACTGCGCTGTGTGACACCCTCTGTCTAGCCTAGGGGAGGACACTGCCCAGAGGGAGGGGCTGGCTGGGCCCAGGGGCGAGGCCTGGAAGCTGGTGGGCAGCACTGCCAGGCTCAGCTTCCGCTGCTGTTGGGCTTTCTTTTTCGGTTTTTAAGACTTGTATATGTTTCTTTCCTTGCTTCTGTCACCCCAGGGGCTCCTGGGGTAGGCTTTCCAGCCCCTGGGCGGTGTCCCTGAGTTGTTTCTTCACACTCCACCTGGGCTTCTCTTTGTGCATTTGTGTCTGGCCTAGTAAGCAGGTCTGACCCCACCTTTACAGCCTGGTGTTAAGCTGGCTTAATCTGTTTAATGTTACCAGTGCGTTTTAAATAGGGGCACTGAAGTTCACTCCCACCACCAGGGCTTTTTTGGGGCTGCCTGGGTCTTAAAAAAACACTAGCCAAATTCTAATTCTCAAACCATTGCCAGGAGTTCTTGCTCCTAGCTGCAGGCTCAGGCCCCAAGGTCTTCTTCCTAGGGTCACCAAGAGCAGAGAGGAGGAGGAATAGCAACTCAGGGCCTGGGGGTTGTGGAGGGAATCTGTTCTTAGGGACTGGATGCCTCTGGCTGGCTGAGCACAGTGGTAACTGTCTCCTCTCCCTCTAACAGGTTCTGAGTAGTGCCTGCGACCCTGCTCCACAGGACCTGGGTGGGGGGACTGGGAGTGTAGAGGTGGCCTGCCTTTTTCTGTTTTCACAGAACAGCTTCTTCTAAGGGGAGAGATCTAGTTTGGGTGAGGGGGTGGGGGGTGCCAGGGAGGCAAGTGTGTTGTGTTGCTGTGTCAATAAACCGATTTAAAGTTGTGGTTGGTCTGTTCTTTATTCCTGTGCCAGGTTCACCTTCCTACCACGACTACCTTTTCAGGTCAGAGCCTAACCTAGTGGGGATGTGGACAAAAGTGGCAGTGCCGCGGGACAGGTAAACTGGCCGAGGTCTCGGGGGCCATGTTACAGTACGAAATGTGGGGTTGCTAGGAGTCTGGGCCACGCCAGAGCCCCTGGAGAGACAGGTGTGTACACATCAGCTTCATCCACAAGCTAGGCCCAGGCTCCACGCTCTTCTTAGGTCTTCCTTTTTTATAGAAAGCTGGGCCCTGAAACAATTTTGGCTTTTGCGTGGAGCTTGCTAACGCTCCCATTCCTGGAGTCTTTGAAGGAAGCACACACCGTCCCTAGGAAGAGTTTCCTCCTTTTGGAGCCCAGTGCCCTAAGGCATGGCTTCACCCTCTGGGCCCACCAGTCTGATGAGTAAGCTCAGTGGCCCTGTAAGGGGCTAGCATCCCTTTCACCTCTGTTCTCTTCTTTTTTAATTTCTCAAGGGCTTACTAGCATTTTCCCCTATTGTTTCCCTTTTCCCAAGTGAAGTGCCGGGTGTGTTCTTCCACGTCCTTCAGCTCTGGAGCTGTCTACTGTTGAGCTATGGCTGTCTTTAGTTTTTCTAAGGGTCTTTGGCTCATTTTCATATTATTCTTGGAGGTTACTTGTGTTTCTGCTCTGGGCTAAGCCATTAACCTTGGACTCCATCTGGTATTCATAAAAAAAAGAAAGTGAGTGCAAAAAACTCCTTCCCCCAAATATTATTAGAGCAGGTCTGGGCCTAGAGAAACTCCAGTTAAAATCAGAAGGACCTGAAGATGTTTACAGTGAGAAGCTAATCCCAATACGCAGCCTAAAGGTAGTGACTGAAAACAGTTACTACGGTGAGATGTTGACCGCAGAGATCCACATGAAAGCTGACAATGGCCAGTCTACATGTAGGCAGTTTAGGGTTCAGATGTTAACCTCAAACCCAAGGAATCTACAATTCAGAGATAAAGGAACAAGACAAAACTCAGCCCTTGCCTTTTCTCTAAAGTAGAAGGGAGAGGAAACACGCCTGAGATTCTGCTGCCCTCTGCTGGTGGCTCCTCTTCAGTACAGTCAGAGCTAAAACCAGTTACTATGGAAGGTGGCGACCCCACGTGTCTCAGAGCGGAACCGTGCTCTGTAGGGTTTTCAGTGGTGGATTTTTTCAGAAGTAGGTGGCCAGGCCTTTCTTCTGAGGCACCTCTGGGTAGCTTCAAACCTCCAACCTTTTGGTTAGCAACCAAGTGCATTAACTGCACCCGCCAAGGGGGGTACTCCTACAGCCAGAGTTAAAAGGGCTGACATGGAAAAACCTAGGCACTCAGGCAAGATTTCCCTTTTAAAAAAGAAAACTTCTTATTGAACACCACTGTTGGGAAAGAAATATGGCTCCGAAAGGCTACACACCAATCGAAAAAAAAACCCAACTTAGGAGGTGGAGTATTTTTTGGGATGGTGAAGTAGGATAAGGGGAGATATGTGAAAGGCAAACTAAGTCTAAATTTAAGAACAGGGACATTAAAAACTTTATTCAATAAATACAACAAATAATTTAAAAATATACTTCAATTCCAAAGCCAGTTAAGAAAAGGAAGTAGAGAGAGGGAAAAGGGGGGAGGAGGAAAGTAGAGGAGAAGGAGAAGGTTAAAGAGGCAGAACAACAGTTTGGTTGGGTTGTTTCCGAATGTTACCACCTTTTGAAATTCTGACCAAATGCTCTTGGCCCATCCACCCACAGCCCTTGTTCTGGGTAGTCACAGGAGTCCGTCAGCCAGGCACAATGCTCTGTCTCTGGGGTCAGAGCGCTCTGCAGGCTGGAATCTGGGGGGAGAGCTGGGAGATGGTTTCTCATTCCTAAAAACCATCCATCCTAACTCCCAGGCAAGCTGAAATAGTGCAAACTCTTAGGCAGAGAGCTCCCAGCTGCATAGTTTCACAAGTGAGTGTCCAAAGCCACTTTGGTGAGCGGGATCTAAGGGTGACAGGAGGGGCCAAGCCAGCAAACAGTGCTGGGCAGGAAAGGGCTGCAAGGCAGGCAGTCTGGACACTGGGTTCAAACAGTGCTGGGCAGGACAGGGCTGCAGGGCAGGCAGTCTGGACACTGGGTTCAAACAGCTTGCCGTCAGCCAGGGAAGGTGAAGCTGAGGATGCATATGGAGCGGACCAGAAGATCAGGAAAGCTGAGGGAGAACGGAAAGTTGGGGGAAAGGAGAGGCAGCTCAGCAGCAAACTCCAGGAGAAATAACCAGCAGCCCTCACAGATTTGTGATTGTCTCTTAAAAAGATTTATTTTCTCTTCTTGCCTGAATGTACAAAGGCAAAAAGAGTACAGTTTGTATATATATATATTTATATATATATATATATAAAAAACAAGGAACTTGGTAATGTACACTTTACAGAAGGGAAGAATCAGGAAGACTGAAATTAAATCCAACAGAGCAACGCCAATGGAACAAAAGCTATGAACAGCAACACTGCCCCTCCAGCCCGGGCCTCCAGCTCGCCCCAACCTGCTCCCAATGGGGGGCTGAGCACCAAGGCAAGCGGGTGGGCTGGGGCAGGAGGGGCTCGATCCCGGGAGGGGCCCATGGCAGGGGATCATTGGAAAGTTTCCTGGGATGCCCTAGTAATAAAGCAAATGACAAAGGCCCAGCATTTACGGGGCCAACTAGCTGCCCAGTTGAATCTTGGGGGCATTAGACACTGGGATGGTGAACAGGGTATATGGGATAGTAAGTGACATGGGTGGCCTCAAAGCCTGTATACAATAACTAGCCCTTCTGCAGTCTCAACCCCAACTCCCTAAGCCAAGTCCTCCCACCCCTGCCTCGGAGCCTGGAGAGAAGAGATCCAAGAATCGCCATTTCATTTCATGGGGTGCCCTCTTACCCTTCTGTGTGTGGTCCTTTGACCATGGGAGGTGTGGAGAGGGTGGGGTAAGAGAAGGTAACTTCATACATGTACCAAGCAGGGAAGGAAGGAAGCTGACACACCTTGAAGAGGAAGAAGTAGATGTGAATCCTAAGAGCAGCTCTCCTCCAAGCCTCAGCTACCCCACCTGGGGATGAGGCTCTCTTTCTCTTTCGCTTCTCCTCTAGGGGAGCCCCAGTGAGCGATGTCCATGAAGGCCTGGGCGGGGTGGCTCAGAGAGAGCCTTGGTCTGGTGGTCTGGGCTCTTAGCAGCAAACTTTTCCAGCCTTGCTCCTGGGGAGGGGCGGGGGTTCCTGCCTCATCCCTCTGACCAGACCGTGGGTACCCCTGTACCCCCCACGCCATGTTCCTCCTCCCCAAGTAGAGAGGCTGAAGGCAGACAGCAAACCTCCACTCGATACTTGTCAAGGATCTGCATTTCCTCTACAGCTGCTGCAGCTGCTGCTTCGTGTTGTTTCAGGGAGGGAAGACCAGACCTGGTAAGGATCAGGGAGGGGCCGGGAAAAGGCAGAGCCATTCTGCCGCCGTCGCTTCCACCTGCTCTTCTCTTCAAGGTGTAACGGTATACAAGGATCAAAGAGCCAACGGTTTTGAAGGAAAAAAAAGAAAAAGCTGTTCCCTTCTGCAGAACCCGAGACTGCCCTGCTAATACAGAAGCTTCCCCCTCTGTCAGAGAACTAAGTAGAAAAGGCAGGAATGTGGGGCCGTGCCTGCCCAGTGGGAAAGAACATTACTCCAAACAGTTTCTTTACAATATGTACAGAGCACGCTGTAGGCCAGGGCCAGAGATACAAAACACACAACAATATTTAAAACAAACAGGAACAGATGGGCCCTTGGTCCACCCCACAGGAGCCTGGGAGGGCATCATCAGGCTGAAATTCAGTCACCTTGGCGGTGGTGACTCAGGTTAGGTGGGGTGAAGATGTCCAACCCAGCTACTTCCATAGATAAAAGGGAAGTCACTGCTCCGAGCACCACCCGCTGGGGCAGCAGGAGGCAGAAGGAATGATGGGTGAGAGGGAGGCTGCGTGGGGCTGCCAAGAGGTCTAAGACATCGGAGTTTCTTCGGGGGAGGGAGGCTCAACCCAACTTGAACAAAAACAAGGACAGGAAACCTAGAGGAAATATCTGCAGGTCAGAGGTGGCTCCTCTTGGGCAGATGACCTCAAACCTATCTATGTCTAGGGCTCTAGGCTTCTGAGAAACCAGCTTCTGCTGGGCATTGTGCTTTCTGTCCTCTATCTCTTTCTTCTCCAACTGAGTCAGAGCCAAGTCCCTGCTCTTAAATTGTCACTTCCGGCACTCTGGCCACAACCAGCCTTCTTTAGCCTAGGTTGCTATCTGTCAGTCTTTCTCTCTCAATCCAGAAGGCCAAGGAAAGACAGGAGGGGAGCAGAACAAGGGGATGATACCCCAAAAGCAAAGTAAGAGCAAAGGCTCCTCACGGCCTGGGGAGGAAGTGACTCCAATAAAGCTACCAAATCACTGTCACTTTCCAAGCAAAAATAGCATAAAGCTTGGCCTGGGAGACTGCAGAAAAAGGTCTGCTGCTTCAAAGCACAGCTCTGCCGAGTACACTCTGTGGCTCTGAGGAGTTACAGCTTGGATGTGTTATCCCAGGGTCTCAGAAACATAACCTCCCATGGCCAGTGGCCCCTAAGACAGAAACACGTGTGTTACATAGAAACACAGCTTCTATTGGCACACACGGAGGTTATAGATTGAGCTGTATAAAATCATGTACACAGAGGAACTCGGGCTGTATATACCTGTGGCCCTAAATGAGCAGGACACTCAGATGGCTGAATGGACAGGACGTATCTAAGAACTGCTGGGTGCTCCCAGGGCCTCTGCTCCCTGGGCCTTGCTCTACGGTGGCCTGGCAGACACCAAAGCTCCCCATGCTGGGGGGATACCATTTTATCTGAGTCTTCAGAGCCAAGCAGTGGAAAAGAAGAGGAGAGATCAGTGTGGGGACCCCCTGGGAAAGGCACCAAGGGGCCAGGAGGGGAGAGAGAAAAGGGCAAGGAGTTGGGGGAAAAGAAGCAGCAGACTCAGTGGGGACGCAGGTTCTATTTCACAGACTCCATTCGTGTCCAGCTCCAGCTCACTCCCAGGAGCCCAGGGGAGCCCTGTGCTGTTGCTGGGACCCCTGCCCTCCGCCTGACAGGTAGCTCAAAGCCCTGGTGGGGCAAATGCTTTGGGTCTTCCTTTCCAGGCTGGGCTCTGAGCATTTACATGTGCTCATGTGAGGGGGGAGAAGTCTTCATGTTTGAAGACCTTGTTTTCACAATTACAGAAAAAACAGCCCCCAATTTCTTTCCTGAGATTCTAAGTCCTCCACGTGCTGCCAGTTCCCAGAGCCCAAACCGCTGGGGAGACGCAGGATCTGGTGATGGTGGGAATGAGGCTGAGGGCTATGGCTGCTGTGCTGTCTTCAGACCTTACCCAGGGCTGGGGGTCCCCCCTGGGGGGCTGGTACTGCTCTGGCAGCTGACCAGGGCTTGGGGAACAAAGCAATGACTTCTCTGGGCTGAGCCATGTTCCCCTGGTCACTCCCCATGCCTTCATCTCCGCAGAGGCCACAACAGTCACGACTGTGGCCGAGAGAATAAATATTTTTGCTAAGTAGCTGCTCTCCAGCTCCTGAGGAAGAGGGAGGGGCAGGGAGCCGGGGTCTGGTGGAGGCAAGAGAGCCAAGGGTCTGCCTTCGGCCATGGTGGGAACGGCAAACAGGATGATCAACACCATTTAACTGATGTCTAAATGGCACCTCCAGCACCTCCTTGGGTGAGCCGTCTGGGCCCGTGAAGCTGACTTTATCCGGGCACTTGGTGTTCTGTAAGGAAAACATGGACAGATAACCAGGCACTCAGCCTGCTGTTATTACAACCACAAGGTGGCGCTCCAAGAAAGGAAGCTGCCGGGCAGGCCAGTACAGGTCCCTAGGGGACTTCTGTGCTTTACAGGTCCTCGCAGACACACATGCCTTCCTGGGCAATCTTGTACAAGAGGCTTGGCCAGGGTCCCACCGTTTCCACACTGCTGACCCCATACAGCTAGCCCCGCACTTAGGCTCCACAGGGATTCTGTGATCCAGCTAGCAACTACCCCTGTTCTGTGCTTGCCCCAAATTAACGGAAGTTACTTACCGTTCTCACCTCCGGGGCGGTGGGTAGAGTGAAGGAGTGGAGCCTTGCTGGCTGGCAACAATAGCTGTAGAAGACAGCCCTGAGTAACGAGGAGAACACGTCAGTGTGGTGTGCCCGGAGCCCTCCTATTAAGTGCTTTTCCTTTACTAGCTGGGTGGGTATTGGGAGGAATTTCCCCTTAAATCCTTAGCTCCCTTGAGTCTCGGGGTGTGAGAGGACAAAAGTCTTTATTTGGCTAGATACAGTGACTGGTGATAGACAGTAAGGCTCTGTTCAGCTGCTTGTTTCTCTGGCTGCGGAAGACCTGTTCCTTATTCTTTTGAGTATCAAAGCCAATCTTCTGGAGGAGTCTGAGGGTCCCCCAGCTCCAAGGAAGCAAGTAAATACCATATGTTTTAATGACTACCTGCAGGGGGCTAGGCAGTCCGTTGTTTGTTGCCATCGAGTCGATTCTGACTCACGGCGACCATGTGTGTGACAGAGTAGAACTGCTCCATAGGGTTTTCTTGGCTGTAATCTTAACAGAAGACGACTGCCAGACCTTTCTTCCACAGTACTGCTGGGTGGGTTGGAACTGCCAACTTTTAGGCTAGCAGCTGAGTACAAACCATTTGCACCACCTTGGGACCCTCTGGACAGACTAGAAGTTAAAAAAAAAAAGGAAGGGTTCTTGCCTGGGGTCCCTTGCTACGGGGATGGGAACAGACGGAAGAGGCTTACCTGCTGCATAGGGTAAGTTGTACTGTGCTGGGAGCAACGAGTAGCCCAGGTGGTGGTGATGGTGATGTGTGGACATCAGGCGCTGGGAAGGAGAGGTGCGGGGCCGGTCTACACTCCTTTCACCCCCGCCTGTTCCCCCGACGCTGCTACAGCTGCCACCACCCCCAATCACCCCACAGCCTCCCCGATCTCTCTCCTGAGCAGTTTTATCACTTATCTGGAAAGGAAAGCAGACACAGAAGTACTATAGTGAGACATGCACACACACAGGAGTGAGACGCTCAGGGCTCACGTTACGACTCCCGAAAAATGCAGACCTAAGAATCCAGGAGGTGCCCAGCCAAGCTGCACTGTCTGTGGTCAGGACCCAAACTTGCCCACCGTCTCCAAGACCCTGGATCTGCCCTTACTGGTCTCTGGATAACAGCCTATGTCACTGCACGTCCTTACCGTGGGAGACTTGCTCTTGTAGTGACTGGCATGCTGCTGCAAGATGTCCAGCGCTTTGGATTCTGAGCTGGACTTACAGCTGACACTGGGGCTGGCTCGTGCCTTGTCGGCATCTTCACCGCCTGAGACCTTGCTCCCGTATGGGGAAAAAGAGTAGCTGGAAGGCAGGTAGGAACCTGGGGAAGGAGAAGTGAAGCTTTAGCGAGCATGGTTAGGTGGGCATCAGCTTTCCCCGGCACAGGCTGAGCCACTTTCTACCAAGGGCTTGGGCTGAGACCACTGGCTTGTCCTTTCTTCCCCAGGGAGGAACCCAGAGCTCTACAGGCAAAGCTAGCTGAGGGACATTAGGAACATGGCTTTCAGCCTCCTTGAGCCCACTTCCCCAGGCCCACATGGGCTCTCTGACCCAGACTCAGAGACTCATACTGGAGAGGTGACATGGTGAAGTGGAAAGATCATAGGATTTGGAGTCATGTGGCCCTGGGCTCAAATCCTTCTCCTGAGACTAGCTGGGTAGTCTTGAACAAATTAACCTTTTTGAGCTTCAGTTTCTGCATCAGCAAAAAGAAGACACCAATATTTATTTCATAGGCTGATGGGAAGGATTAATAAGATGATGGATATAAATCACCTACTACTGTCACCATACTACTCAATAAATGGACGTATTGTTTTTATACAGATGAATGGGGGTGACAGGGAGAAGGTGACAGAGAGAAAGAAATACCACAGAGTGAGACAACCAACTGCATATCTCTCTCTGAAAAATTTACTTATGTCACACCAGAATGGGAAGACTATTTAGGCTGCTCTCCTGCAGGGAGTTGGGCGCTCTGAGGAGTGGGTTAAAAAAGTACCCTTCACCCCAGAAGCATCCACACGGCTTTTCAGACAACAGAAATCAGTGAGCAGAGCTGAGTAAGAGCATCTTCTTCTAACAAGTTAACATTTAAACCTGTTTTGTGCACTCCCTTCTCCCCTGGAACTCATCGACAGCAGTGTACAGAGCTTCTCCTTCTTAAGCTTGACCTTTTTTAGCTGCACTTCTCCCTAGTCTGATTCCAAACTGCTCTTCCCACCAGCTGAATGTATCTTGCAATTGAACATACGGACTGCCCTGGTCTGCAGTTTAATGGTGCATGTGTCTCCCCTGCTACAACAAATCTGTAAGCTCCATGAGGGGAGGAAGCTAGTCTTTTTACTTCTTTTGTATTCCTCAGAGTGCCTAGCACACTGCAGAATGTAGAGTATATGCTTAAAAATACCAGCTGAGGGAAGACAGCTGTGGTGGCCAGGGAGTTTTACCTTCAGTTATCAATGAAAACTGGTAGAGGCGGCCCTCTTGCTGGAGCGAGAGAGGGAGAAGTGGTCCCACAGACTGTCACTGGGGAGCAAGAGAGGGAGAGGGGGTCCCACAGACTGTCACTGGGGAGTGAGAGAGGGAGAGGGGGTCCCACAGACTGTCACTGGGGAGCGAGAGAGGGAGGGGAGTCCCAAAGACTGTCACTGGGGAGTGAGAGACGGAGGGGGGTCCCACAGACTGTCACTGGGGAGCGAGAGACGGAGAGGGGGTCCCACAGACTGTCACTGGGGAATGAGAGACAGAGGGGGGTCCCACAGGCTGTCACTGGGGAGTGAGAGATGGAGGGGGGTCCCACAGACTGTCACTGGGGAGCGACAGAGGGAGAGGGGGTCCCACAGACTGTCACTGGGGAGTGAGAGATGGAGAGGGTGTCCCACAGACTGTCACTGGGGCCATTCAAGGACCTCAGGTTTAGTGTGGCCCTTCACAGAAAAACACTTTCAAGAAGGGGCTGTCATCTAACTGAGCCCCAAAAAGCCTCAGGGCTGAGCAATCGCCCTGGATTTGCCATCTGTGCTTCGTTCCCCTTCCTGGTTAGCGAGCAGCAGCTGCCCCGGGGTGCTGTACCTGGGTAGTTCTGCATCATCACGGCAGGCATGCCCCGGTAGCTGGGGTGGCTGGGGTCATAGGACTGGCTGTAGGAGTAGCCGTGCATGTAGGGGATGTAGGACTGGTGCTGGGTGAGCGGGGAGGACACAGGCACGTGGACACTTGGTCGGGGCTCCTTGCTCCCGAGGCGGGAATCCTCGGCCGGGGGCAGCTTGCAGTCACTACTTGTGCTTTCCTTCCCATCCTCCTTGGGGACAGAGTCCTTACTCCGACTCCTCTCCTCCTTCAATTTGCGGTCCCGCTCCTCTTTCCACCGCTCATCCTCTGGCTTGATGTCTGAGTACTTGGCAGGATAGACATACGTCCACATCCGGGGCTCTGCCTCCTACAACAATCGCACAATGACGGTTGAGTGTGGTACAGATAGAAAGATACCTATTTCAAACCCAAGGTCCCAGGAGAAATACCAGATAATTACTAGACACCTGGGGCAGAGTATGATCGTGGCCTCTACTGATCTTCCTTTACAATCCAACCCTGGTCTCTCTGACTTCAAAAGTCCCCATCCCCTCCCCCACAAAGGTAAACAAGGTGGGGGGAAAGAAAAGGAAAATCTATCACTGGATGTGTTCTTGGAGACAAGAAGCATTCTGGGGAAACAATTTCCTGAGCAGAAGAGATGTCCCTTTCCGAAGATGTTTCGGTTATTTCAGTGTTTCAGAGCAGACTCGGGGTGGAAAGCTGTAAACGCAGCCCAGGTCAGGGGAGCCAGGCGTAAGGATGGCACCACGAGGGAAAAAAAGACACCCTAAGTCTCACAAGCAGAGCAGCATGTGAGACTCCACATTCTCAGTTCTAATTCTGCCTGTTAAATCCTTTCTCAAGTCACTCAGTCTGAGTAGGACACTTTTGGCCAACTCTAAAATGGGGAGATCACCATGAACTCATTCCATAGCAACCAAACAGTGAAAGAAACACTGGGCTCTAGCAATTGAGCTACCTGGGTTCTAGTCCAGGCTCCGCTAGTGAAGTCTTGAGTTACCCTAGACAAAAGCTAAATTATCTGGGCCTTTTTGTCAAATGGGAAAAACACCTTTTACTGATGTAAAAGTGCTTTTAAAAAACACAGAAATGATTTACAAAGGTAAAGAATCCCCAAAATGAAAGACTTCTGCTACTCTCAATTCTGTTGAACCCCTATATAAGGACAGCCCCAACTTGTGAGGAAGAGTGGAAAGACTCTCAAGAGGTATCTCCACTTCCTACCAAGACAACAGTTACCTGTCGGTACCAGAGTATTGGATCCACCTCTGCCTGCCGGCCACACTCAGCACCTGTCTTGGCCTCAGAGGCCTCCTTGCCAAGATGGCTGGCTTCACTCAGTTTCACTTTAAGTCCTTCTGGGGCCTGGCTGGGGAGTTTTGAGGCATCATCTAACTTGGGAATGATGACTGATTTGGCAGGGTCAGGCCCTGGCTCCTTGGCCTTGCCTGGTCCTGACTTCACCAGGTCTGTCAGGCTGGGGGCCTTGGTGAGAGTTGGTGGGATTGACGGCTTTTGCTTCCACTCTTCCTTGAGCGCTGCCTCTCGCTCCTTCAGGCCCATCTCTGCCTTCTTGTCCAGGCCCCGCTGCTGCTGCTCCAAGCTCTGCCGTTTTTGCTGTTCCTCGTATTGCTGCCGGTAAGCTGTGTTTGTGCTCAGGAGGTGGGTGTGGTAACTCTGGTCGCTGTAGCCATAGGGGGGTACATAGGCATACTGGTTGTAGTACAGAGACTGCATGTACATGTTGGGGCGCTGCTGGATGACAGAGGGCTGCTGACTGGAACTGCTCAGCTCTGCTTTCTTCTCCTCACAGACATCGTTCTTCATTCTCCCCTCTATGCTCTCAGGCTCCTCATCCTTTTTTGTCTTCAGGGACTGGCTCTCCACTCCTGCCTGGCTGCTGGGGTTCAGAGCCCCTGGGCTGGACTGGGTGTAACTTGGAGAGTAGTAAGTCTCAAAGCCTTGGTAGTATGGTGAGTCTTTGCTCTGTGGCTGAGGGGCGAAAAGAGTTTTCTTAGCCCCTTCCTTAACCAGCTGTTCAGGGTCCTTTGATTTGACACCGTCCACCTTGCCCTCTCCATCCTCCCCAGCATCGGAGATGTCGGAGTATGCAGGGCTGTTGGTTTTAACTGAGCTGGCTTCAGCTCCATTCTGGGTCACTACATGTAAGGGAGTCATGGGCTGGGTAGGGGTAGTGCTATCTAGGCGGCTACTGCCTCCAATTGAGGGGCTGGGAGCATTGTCTGTGAAGCTGTAGATCTTGTCAGCTTCAGCCTTGATGCTAGCCAGTCGGCTCTGGTGGGGGTCTGATGAGCCATTTAGGAGACCCTCCATTTTCATCCCATCTCCCGATGATTCCCTGAATGGGCTTTTGCCTTCTTCTGCTCGACAAACCTTCCCAGGAGTCAGAGGACTTTCAAGTTCCTTTGAAGATTCTTTCTTTTTTTTGTCTTTCTTTTTCTTGTCCTTGGCTGGAGTCAAGGCAGGGTTGACTGTGAAAGGCTCTCCCATCACAGTGGGCTTGGGCTGAATGGGTTTGAGCTGGGGGCTGTTGGGCATGGCTTGGACCACTGTGGTGGTCAAGCCTGAGGAGGAGCCTGGGCTTGCTGCTGTGAAGGTGGCTGTCTGGAAGGTGTAGATTTGCTGTGGGGGGATGGCAGGGGCAATGGGGCGGGCTGACTTTAAGCTCTTGGACTGAATCTTTTCAGGTTTCAAACTAGAGGGTTTTTTACATTTTTCTTTTTCAATACATTTCCTTTCCAAAGAATCAAAGGCATCATTGCTTGTTTCATCCATTACTGAGGGTCCATCATCAGAGCCATCATTGGATAAGGCCCCGAGGTCTGTGTCCCCTTCCCCACTCAACTTTTTCTTACAGAGACCTTTTGTGCTGAATTTGCTTGAAGGAGAAGGGCTATGGGGCTCTATAAGCCGAACTTTGGGGGTAGCTGAGCGGGCAGGGGACAAGGAACCTTTTTGTGAGACAGATGCACCATTGCAACTCCCAAGTTCTGCATGGAGAGTAGGCTCCTCTCCGTACTCGCTGTCTCCATCCGCTTCAGGTTTACTGTCATCATCTGTATGGGCATGAGCTTGATGGTACTTAAGTCCATTGATGTGCTTGTACTTCTTGTTGCAGTTTGGGTGGGGACAGTCAATCAGGACTGGGGAGGGACAATTTCTGTCCAGAACAGTGGGTTCCACCTTGGTCCCAGGGAGCGGGCCAGTGGCTGAGCCCATGGAATTTGTACGGACACGCTTGCTCCCTTTGGAGTCCTCTGAGCTAGAATTTAGCTCCATGTCTGAAAGGGGTTTATTTTTCCGCTTATTAGCTGACGAAGGGCTGGCCTTGACATCCTCAGAGGTGCTGCTTGCAGGTGGGCGATGCTCTGAAGAATTTTGGCTGCCCCGACGGCCTTTACTATTGGCTCCTGCCCGGGTTTTGCTGCTGCTGCTGGTCCCTTTGCCATCAGAGGCTGCAGTGGTCTCATTGACAGGGGTGTTACTGTTGGGACGCATTCGTTTGCCTCTACCCCGACCATTACGCATTTCCAAGTCACTGGTGGGGGAGTCACAGAACCTTGGCAAAGGACAAACACAACAAAATATTATTAAGAGTAGAAAACATCTTCAAACCAGTTTAATTGCAGCCTCTGGAACTGTTCAGGTGGTAACTATCATTTTCAATGAATATGATTTGTTAAAGAAACTTCTGAATACATGGGAACTGTATTAAATGGTGAGCTCCTAGGATGTTATCTGTATGCTAGTTGTAAATCATTCCCCTACATTTACCTCTAAAGCCATATAGTTTGTTCCATAAGGCAAAGAGCAGTCATGTCTGCATTTCCTATATGCAGCTATAGTCATGGTTTCAGGAAGGACTTCAGACATCATCCAGGAAACTGAGGCCAGGCATGCTGAGTGACTTGTCCAAGGTCACATAGTTGATTAATGGTAATGCATGGACCAGAATCTAGCTCTACTTTCAGCCCATTGCTTTTTCCCTAAACACCTCGCTATGAATGTACAGACAAGTAGAACAGAACACCCATCCACACTAAGAGGCCCCTAAACGTCAGATGCAGCCAACAGCAGACGAGTTCTCGGTCTGGAGGCCTGCAGCTAGAAGTCATCCCTTACTGGTCTTCTTGAATGAAGCTCTTCTTAGAGTTCAGCACACTGCCTAGAATGGAATTCTCAGCTGAGGTTGGTTCCTTTGTAGATCTGAAGACTGTTCTGACTATCTTGTCCTAGAGGGCAGCTGGAGCAGGTTGTTTTTAAGATACTGGGAGCCACAGCTATAGCAAAAAAAACGGCAAATTTTGTCAAACATCTCCTCTAGGTCCCCAGAACAGTTCTACTATGAAGTCCTTTACTTTTTCCTTGTTATCACCTACCCTCTCAGCTCCTGTCTCTCTGAACTCTAATATGTCCAAAGCGAAAAGAAGTTCTTCCAACAGGTTTCCCAGAAATGCAATGGGAGGACGTAAAGAACTTTACAAGCTGGTCTCAGGCTCATCTGCTTCTGATTCCTGTCAGGGCAACTTCTGTAATAGTCTGACTCAAGTCAAACATATCTAAGTCTTTAGAAATCTGGTCTAGCATCTCTGAAAACTAGGGGGCATAAATAACCACACATCCCTAGGCAGAGCATAATTACATACACCTGAGAAAAAGAAGGTGGCATGGCATCAAGAAGAGCTTTAAAATATCTAAAAAATATTTTTCTTTGGGACATTCCTACCCATCTTTGTTCCACGGAAACAATGGACAGGTGAAGGTTTAAGATAATTTTTCTTAAGCCCCAAACCCTGGCAAACTGAATACTAATATTAGGAACAATCTATACGGTACTGTTCACTGAAATGCCAATCTTAAGGTCAAATTGCATTGAAAAGATCCTTGTGAAACTTACATGGTCTAGCGGAGTTTAAAAAACTGAAAATTTTTTTGAGTTTAAGTTTCTGAGAGATACTTACCAACAAAAGCCATCAACAATGAATGCTCACCCATAGTTAGACTTTATGGCTTTGGTCTCGAGGGACTACAGGTAAAAGCCAGAATTCAATAATCCCAGATAAAGGCTTAAACAGGGTTTCCTATCCATTCCTACTGACCTCTCCACCACACACCCAACATTTCAATAACTAATTAATTTATTCTTCTTGAATGCCAGAGGACTACAGTGCCTTCCCTTGCCTCTGTACCATAATGTCCTTTACAAGCTGGGTGCACAACTCTAGCAGGATAAAGGCGTTAAAGGTTCACTGATGAGGGTGAATCAGACTAATTTACGCTGCTTACCTCGGGGGTGCCCAATCATGGCGTGTGCAGTCAAGAAGTGTACCTACGTATGTCTTGTTCCTCCATGTTACATTCACCACCAACATCCCTGGAATACAAAAAGACTCAGGTATAAACAAGACACCCTGCTAGCCACTGACCATGTCTTCCGCATAAGCCCCACTCTGTAGGAGGGATTAGAGGATGCTCTGGGTCCCAGTGGCACAATCAGGATTGGGCCAGAATAGTTCCATGAGAACTGCCTACCATGTTACTGGGGCCCCTAAGGAGAGGCAACAGGTGCAAAGACTTTATGGTCTGGTTAAGGTACATTTTCTTAAAAAAAAAAGAAAAAAAATTTTATTTTGTAGTATTTCAAACAAACTGAAAAAATGAAAGAATAACCTAACAAAAACTCATGTACTCACCATCCAGTTCAATGGGTTTTAAAGATATTTTAAAGAACAAAACATTATAGTTGAAGGGTATTACTTGATATATTTTTAAACTTTCCACGAATGGGATCATGCTGAGGGTATAAATTTGCAACTTAGCTTTCTCACTTAATATTACAAATCTGAGATTTAGTCATCTTGACATACAAAGAGTTCATTCATTTTAATTGCCCTCAAGTATTGCATTGCATGATTTGACCACAACGTATACATTCTCCTGCTGACAGACATTTAGGTATTTTTGTACATTTTCACTCTTAAATGATGTCACAATGAACATTCCTGACATGTTATAGTTATTCATTTTATTTTAAAAATGCTTTTGAATAGGTAATATAGTAATGCTCCAAAATTCAAAAGGCACCAAAAAACGGCCACCCTAATATTAATGAAGTGTCCCTGATGTCACTATTATCCAGCCCTCCAGTACCCCTTTCTAAAAAGCATCTAAGCATCACCCTTCAGCCAAAGATCAGACAGGCCCATAAAACAAAACGCGACTAAAGGGGGCACACCAGCCCGGGGGCAAGGATGAGAAGGCAGGAAGGGATCGGAAAGCTGGTAATGGGGAACCCAAGGTTGAGAAGTGTTGACGTGTTGTGGGGTTGGTAACCAATGTCACAAAACAATATATGCGTATTAATTGTTTAATTCGAAATTAGTTTGCTCTGTAAACCTTCATCTAAAATACAATAAAAAAATAAAAATAAAAAACATCTAAGCATATCCATGAATATAAGCAAATGTGTTTCTACATTCTTCCTTAAATGGCAGCAATATATACACACAGTTTTGCACATTGTTTTTTCATCAAACCATATATTTTGGATCACCCATATCAGTACAACAGAGCTGTGTCATTCTTTTCAACAGCTGCATTTGAAGGACTGTACCATAATTTATTTAATCAGTCCCTTGTTGATGGACATTTAGATAGCTTCACTTGTTTTGCTATTACAAATAATGCTGCAATGAATAACCTTGTACAATTGTTTTATCTTTTTTTTTAAGAAAACAAAAGTTCTATTTAATTAGTTTTGTAAATAATTGCTGTTGTTGAGAATATACACAGAACATATACTAATTCAAGAATTTCTACATGTACGATCCAGTGACATTGATTACATTCTTCAAGTTATGCAATTTCTTCTGAGCTGTTCCCCCCATTAACATAAACTCACTGCTCCCTAAATTTCCTATCTAATCTTTCAAGTTGCTGTTGTCAATTTATCCCATATAGATCTTAAAAGTGCACAATTCTTCAGGCAGACATTCCCTACTAGTTTAGCTAAACTACTGTTTGGTTTTAAGAAGACTTCGGGTGATTTTTTTAGTATAAGGTTTAAAGATAATCTCAGGGCAAAAGTTTCAGGGGTTCATCTGGTCTCCATGGCTCCAGAAAGTCTAGAGTCCATGATAATTTGAAATTCTTTTCATCAAGATTCTTCGATAGAATCTTTGATAAAAATGTTCAGTAACAGTAGCCGGGCACCATCCAGTTGTTCTGGTCTCATGGCAAAGGAGGCAGTTGTTCATGGAGGCAATTAGCTACACATTCCATTTCCTCCTCCTATTCCTGACTCTCCTTCCTCTGTTGCTCCAGGCGAATAGAGACCAGTTGTACCTTGGAAGGCCACTTGCAAGTTAAGACCCCAGGACTAGGCAACAAACTAGGAGGTAGAACAGAAGCATGTTAATACGCCAATTAACTGGGATATGCTGGGATGTTCCATAATACTATGACCCTAAACCTCCAAACCAAGGAACCAAATTCCATGAGGTGTTTGGATGTACATAAGCAGCCTCAGAGCTACTCTTCCTTCTTCTCGTTTTTTGTCATTGTTGTTAAATATATCTATTATACAACTTTTTGCAGGCTGTGATGGTTAAGATTGTGTGTCAACTTGGCTAGGCCATGATTCTCAGTGTTTATATGTGATTACTCTCATGATGGAATTTGCTGTGAGTAGCCAATCAGCTGAAAGGGAGTTTCCTTGGGGGTGTGGCCTGCATATGAATATAAGCTTTTTGCTCGCTCTGGATCCTGCAGCTGCCTCCTGTTTGTATGATCTCTGGTTCTTGGGACTTGAGCTATCAGCTTATCTGCCGATCTTGGGATTCATGGACCTTCACAGCCTGTGAGCAGAAGCCCTGCTCTCCGACCTGCCAATCCTGGGTTTGCCAGCCCCTGTGGCTACATGAAGCCTCTTATCCTGATCCACGGACTTGGGACGTTCTAGCCTCAACAGTTGCGTGAGCTGTTTCCTTGATATGAATCTCTTTATATATACATATTTATATGCTTTACTGGTTTTGCTTCTCTAGAGAACCCAGCTTAAGACACAGGTGTACAACTTATCAACAGTAATTATATTAATCGGCTGTGCAACCTACCCTTAAACAATGCAATTTTTCCATCAGCATACACCGAAACTCAGTACTCCATAAACATTAACCCCCCCCTTTTCTCCCCTCCCTCTCACCCCTGGTAACCACTAATAAACTTCAGTTTCTGTACATTTGCCTATTCTTGTCTTTTTATATACGTGAAGTCACATAATATTTGTCCTTTTGTGATTGGCTTATTTCACTCAGCATAATGTCTTCAAGCTCCATTCATGTTGTAGCATATATCAAGACTTCATTTCTCTTACTGGTTGAGAAGTATTTCATTGTATGTAAATACCACATTTTTTTTATCCATTCATCCGTTTATGAGCATTTAGGCTGTTTCTACCTTTTGGCTACTGCGAATAGTGCTGCAATGAACACTGGTGTAAAAGTATCTGTTTGAGTCTCTGCTATTAAGTCTTTTGGGTATTTATCTAGGAGTGGAATTGCTGAGTCATATGGTAGTTCTGCTTTTAGTTTTTTGAGGAACCGTCATACTGTTTTCCACAATGGCCACACCATTTTGCATTCTCACCAGCAATGGATAAAGGTTCCAATTTCCCCATATTTTCACCAACATGTTACTTTGTTATATATTTTTTTTAATTTTAGCCACTCTAAACCAAACCAAAACCAAGCCCATTGCCATTGAGTAGATTCTGACTCATAGCGACCTACAGGACAGAGTAGAACTGCCCCATAGAGTTTCCCAAGAGCGGCTGGTGGATTCGAACTGCCAACATTTTGGTTAACAGCCAAACACTTAAGCACTGTGCCACCAGGGCTCCTTAGCCATCCTAGTGGGAGTGAAATGGTATTTCATTGTGGTTTTGATTTGCATCTCTCTGATGGCTAATGACATTGAGCCTCTTTTCATATGTTTGGTGACCATTTGAATTTCCTCTTTGGTGAAATGTCTACTCAAGTCCTTTGCCCATTTTTATGATTTGGTTGTCTTTTTGTTAAATTGTCAGAGTTTTATATATATTTTGGTTATTAGATTCTTACTGGATATATGGTTTCTGAAGATATTCTCCCAGTTGATAGCTTGTCTTCATTTTTTTTGTAAAGTCTTTTGATGAACAAAAGTTTTCAATCTTTGAGGTCCCATTTATTTATTTTGTCTTTGGCTGTTTGGCTTTTGTTATTATATTAGATAATCCACTGTTAAAAGCTAGGCCTGAAAGCATTGCTCCTGCATTTTCTTCTAAGAATTTTATGGCTTTACATTTCTGATGGTAGAAAAAATTGAAAAGAATAATATTTTGTGACATATGAAATTCAAGTATCAATGTTCATGAATAAAGTTTATTGGAACATAGCCATGCTTATTCATTTATGCATTGTCTATGCCTTGTTTCATGCTACAAGGCTGAGTTAAACAGTTGCAACAGAGACTATATGGCCAGCAAAGCCTAAAATACTTACTATATAACCCTTTACTGAAAAAGTTCACCAACTCCTGTTTTAGATCTTTTTTTTTCTTTTCTAATACAAGTATTTAGAAGTATAAACTTCCCTCATAGCATCCCAGAAGTTTTGATCTGTTTTCATGATTATTCAGGTCAAAATATTTTCTAGTTTCCTTGGCCATTTCTTTTTTGATATCCTCAAGTACTCTGCATGATTTTAATTCTTTTAAATTTATTGAGAGTTATTTTATGGTCTAATATATAGTCTATCTTGAAGAACATTCCATTGGTACCTGAAAAGAATATTAAAGAATATATATTCTGCAGTTGTTAGGTGTTCTATAAATAAGTCAAGTTGATTTGATAGTATTATTGAAGTCTTCTATATCCCTACTAATTTTCTGTCTACTCATTCTTATCAATCACTTGCTCCTTGTTCTCATTTCCTGGAACTCCAATTTATTTGGAAGTTAGACTTTCTAGACTAATTCTCTAACTTAATCTTTTTGCTCACGTATTTCATTTCTTTGTCTTTTGTTCTATAGTCTAAGGAATTTCCTTCAACTTCTAAATTATATATTAAAATTTTCATTTTTACTTTTGTATTTTTAACTAAAAAAAAGCATTCTGTTTTTGTTTTATGGATGCAATATCTTTTCTTATCTTTCTGAAGATATTTAATTATATTTTGAAATCTACTTCTGTTCTCTGAAGTCTTTTTTCCTCCGAGCCCCTTTTTCTTGTATTTTTTGGTCTGTATTCTCTTATTTTTCAGGTTTTCTTCAAAAGTTGGTGCTCTTTGGATCTGTTAATATTTAAATGTGAGGTACTAAAAACCAGATTGGGAATGA